TCATTTCCTGAGGGTTGAATTAGAAACTCAGATTCCAAAGTTAAGATGGCATCCAACACATTGTGAAAGTGTCTGCTAACCGTCGAGCCAGATCGATGAAAGAAAAATGCGACACTTCGATTCTTAACATTATGGTCAATTATATGAAGAAATTGAGCAACTTGTTGCTCCACTATCGACCGAATGGTGTCCTTAACTAACTCAGTTGATCTTAGTCTCTCACAAATATTAATAAATGCCTCTGGACCCATCGTAATAATGTCGCGGCACCGATTAGTATGCACAAGATATGACATTAATTGCTCCCTACGACGGTCTCTGTATGATAGGTAATTCATTACACTACTAGAATCACTAGAGTACTTATTCAAGATACTCAACGCGTGTCCAACAATGCATAGCATTGTTAAAGCACCCAATGAAGTGGTTATTTGTAATTGTTGACGTATCATTGCGATAATATTGAAGTCTACCCAACCACGTCATCATCTATATCTTCACGGTCCACAGATGATAAATCTAATTCTTCTTCGATCTATATTTACTTAACAAAATAATATAATTTATGAACTTTATACATACAACTAAAATGAACAATATCAATAAAATCCATATATTCATATAATCATATACTAATTAACAATATTCATGCATTCATATAAAAATTAAACAAAATTCAGTATATTTATTCAACAAATAAACCACAGTCATGCATAATAATTAAATAACCTAATATGAAACATACCTAATGAAGAAACTTAGGAAGCTTTAATTTCAGAATTGTTGACTGGATTTGAAGGAAGATTGAAAACGCTATAACTGTAAGCTCCCAATAAGATACCAATTTCAATTGTCAATATTGATATAAATGAGTGACAATTCCAAACCAAACCTCTTCAAAAAATAAATCACTATCTTATATCATATATTGGTTAAAAAAATAAATTGGTTTGTCAAATATGTACCTTCAATTCACCTTACACGCGACTTCAAGGAACTCCGAACAATGACTCAACAGAGAGCAACTTAGGAACCTCAACCACTTAATGCGTCAACATTATTAACATACAACCACCAAGATTTTTCAACCTCTAATCAGACTATAAGAAGAAGTTCAGTAATAAGGTACACATTCCAAATAACAAGATTTTCTTTAACAATAAAACATTCAAAAATGCAAACAATATATCTCCCTAACCTTCACAGCTTAGTTATCCCTCTTTTCACCTCCAACTTAGTTATCCCCCTCTTCACCTCGGTCAAATATTTTGTTGCTTTCCAATTCTAAGATCTTGATAAAAAAACCTGCAAACACATACAAATGTTTAAGCCTCATGCCATAAAAATTCATTTCCAAAAACAACCTATGACCAAATCTCATTCCTCGCGCATCTACGGTTTGATGGAAGCCATATCACCCCAACCTGTACGCCACAAAACATTCCTATACTTTGCCCTTCACCCTCCTCACAACTCTCGTACTCCACCTTATGCCACCTCCATGTATATCAACCTCACTATCCTATTGCATCCTTTAATGTTACCATGCATTCTCGGACCACCACATTTCGACCACCACACGACACTTCATCTGCAACTCCATGCCACACATCTCCCTCATCTTCGTTGATTGATGTCCCCATTTCTCCGTTCAAGGGTGGTTATAAAAACACACCTTCATCCTCTCCGGCCTTATCGTCAACCTTCGCCAACCGTTGCTTCCAACGCGGATGAAGACTTTTGACAGCCACGCCTCCAACATCATAACAGCATCAGTCCATGGACGACAGCTTACACGCTTTTTCACCTTTACCTTTGCCGACGGAGCTAGGATTTCAGCTATGGGTATCCGCTTACTGGATTTGCAACACAACGTTGTCATCCGCTTGCAATGATAGGAAGTCGCACACCACCCTCATATCCGGATACGTCAAACACCGTATCTGAATACACCAACAAACCAAAACCTTGGTAACCCTGGATCCGAATACACTTTACCCTTGATCCGAATACATCAACATATCGTCTGCGCTTTGATCTTCTTCATCCGCTTGTGTCGTTATCATCAACTGCCTTCTTCCTCCTCCTTCCGGGTCTTCTTCATCCGCTGCCGTGGTCTCCATGAACCCCCTTCTTCCTCCTCCAAACACCCTTCTCTTTCGTCTTCACTACTTGCAGAGGTCTTCAACCTACAACAAGCACATAAATTTGTTCCACAAACATGAGCTCACCTCAATTGTTCTCCACAGCTGCTCACTCTCAGATCTCTTCAGCAAACACAACTCTCACTCACGCAAAGCTCTGCTAAGTAAAGAAACCCTCACAGTTAATACACACACCAAACTTATCTATAAAGACCGTCTTATTAATGTTGTTAATGGTCAGAGATTCTTTTACAAATTCAAAAACGAATCACTTCTTTGCAGCACCGAATGGTCGTGTCAACCAGGGAATCTCATTAGGACACTGTGCGCTGCTAAACCACGATGTAAAAGCTTGCTTTTGGACACTCCAAAGTCCTCACATGGGAAGGCACAATAACACTCGTGAAAGCACAATGCATTTGCTGCAATGGAGTGTGGTTAAAATGAAACCCAATACGTGAATACATGTTAATATATTATGCATGCTTTATTGAATGCTTCTGGAATTATAGAAATAGTAGAGGGACATAGACGACTTTTCATCCCAAATCGTCGCAAATCTTTGCAAAACTGCGAGACCCGGAAAAAGCAATAATCTGCGCAAATCAGCCCTGTTAACTGCTTTTCCATCGTTGCAAATCATATGAATCGAACAACATTTAACCCGCATATCCATCCTTGCAAATTGGCGACTACAGTAAATCACCCCAACCGAACGCAGTGTTATTTATATTCATGTCAACCTTAGCTAAACCTTAATCGGGCAGTCACCCCTTAGTTTCCTCTCGTAATTAAATTATGAATTCAATTATTTCTTCCTCAAAGTGATAGTATGAATGAGATCTAGTGATGACCACTTGCGTTCACATATTAGTTAGTTAGTGCTCATTGCTAGATGCGGTTACTTTATTAAAAGAAGAATTATTAAAACAAATATAATTAATTAAGCAAGATTATTTGAACTTATTAGGATATTGGCATACAAACAATCACATAAATTACTTACGTTGTTTGATGTGTTGTAGAACTTGGCAGTGGTGAATGATAGAGATCTTAACAAATATCTTGTTCTGTAGCAGTTTTTAGTTTTTTCCCTTTTGTAAATATTCCTTGCTTTCGCTTGTAACTCTACACACTTTGCTTCATTCTCAATAAAAATTTTCTCTTGAGTCTTTTATTAAACACTTACATGTCAGTTTGAAGATCTCTTCTTCTCTCATGGCTACCCCGATTTCTACCTCCGATCATCTTTCTAATCNTGCTACTTGCGATGATAGGGAATCTTTTTTTCAACACACCAAAAGTTCTTTCAATAACATTTCTCAACGAAGAATGACGATGATTAAACAACTCTCGTGCATTTTGTGGTCCTCTGCGTGTATATTCTTTAAGGTGATATCTTACGCCTCTATATGGAGTCAACACTGTGCTTTTCAACATAAATCCTGCATTACCGAGGTAGTATTTTCCTACAATTTTGGGGATATAATGGTAATTAGTCACTAGTACACTAAATCTTCAACATCGTAATGTATACACTGACCTTGGGGGATAACCAACGGATCATCTCTATTAAGAGCATTTTTAAAAATTCTCAAATCAGATGCAGTCCCTTCCCACCCAGCAAGAACGTATGTGAATTTCATGTCAAAATCACAAGCCGCAAACACATTTTGAGTTGGCCAATCTTTTCTTCCTCGAAATCTCGGAACTTCACATCTTGGCACGTTGACCCGAACATGAGTACCGTCTATGGCCCCTAAACAATCCTAAACATAAAAATAAGAAGTCATCATATTACTTATAATTTGAGTTCATCCTTTGTTGAAATAACATGTACGAATATAATGAAATTACTACCTTAAAGTACGGATAAAATCGATTGTTGTTCAATACATGTGGATGAACTTCATTTCCTGAGGGTTGAATTAGAAACTCAGATTCCAAAGTTAAGATGGCATCCAACACATTGTGAAAGTGTCTGCTAACCGTCGAGCCAGATCGATGAAAGAAAAATGCGACACTTCGATTCTTAACATTATGGTCAATTATATGAAGAAATTGAGCAACTTGTTGCTCCACTATCGACCGAATGGTGTCCTTAACTAACTCAGTTGATCTTAGTCTCTCACAAAAATTAATAAATGCCTCTGGACCCATCGTAATAATGTCGCGGCACCGATTAGTATGCACAAGATATGACATTAATTGCTCCCTACGACGGTCTCTGTATGATAGGTAATTCATTACACTACTAGAATCACTAGAGTACTTATTCAAGATACTCAACGCGTGTCCAACAATGCATAGCATTGTTAAAGCACCCAATGAAGTGGTTATTTGTAATTGTTGACGTATCATTGCGATAATATTGAAGTCTACCCAACCACGTCATCATCTATATCTTCACGGTCCACAGATGATAAATCTAATTCTTCTTCGATCTATATTTACTTAACAAAATAATATAATTTATGAACTTTATACATACAACTAAAATGAACAATATCAATAAAATCCATATATTCATATAATCATATACTAATTAACAATATTCATGCATTCATATAAAAATTAAACAAAATTCAGTATATTTATTCAACAAATAAACCACAGTCATGCATAATAATTAAATAACCTAATATGAAACATACCTAATGAAGAAACTTAGGAAGCTTTAATTTCAGAATTGTTGACTGGATTTGAAGGAAGATTGAAAACGCTATAACTGTAAGCTCCCAATAAGATACCAATTTCAATTGTCAATATTGATATAAATGAGTGACAATTCCAAACCAAACCTCTTCAAAAAATAAATCACTATCTTATATCATATATTGGTTAAAAAAATAAATTGGTTTGTCAAATATGTACCTTCAATTCACCTTACACGCGACTTCAAGGAACTCCGAACAATGACTCAACAGAGAGCAACTTAGGAACCTCAACCACTTAATGCGTCAACATTATTAACATACAACCACCAAGATTTTTCAACCTCTAATCAGACTATAAGAAGAAGTTCAGTAATAAGGTACACATTCCAAATAACAAGATTTTCTTTAACAATAAAACATTCAAAAATGCAAACAATATATCTCCCTAACCTTCACAGCTTAGTTATCCCTCTTTTCACCTCCAACTTAGTTATCCCCCTCTTCACCTCGGTCAAATAGTTTGTTGCTTTCCAATTCTAAGATCTTGATAAAAAAACCTGCAAACACATACAAATGTTTAAGCCTCATGCCATAAAAATCCATTTCCAAAAACAACCTATGACCAAATCTCATTCCTCGCGCATCTACGGTTTGATGGAAGCCATATCACCCCAACCCGTACGCCACAAAACATTCCTATACTTTGCCCTTCACCCTCCTCACAACTCTCGTACTCCACCTTATGCCACCTCCATGTATATCAACCTCACTATCCTATTGCATCCTTTAATGTTACCATGCATTCTCGGACCACCACATTTCGACCACCACACGACACTTCATCTGCAACTCCATGCCACACATCTCCCTCATCTTCGTTGATTGATGTCCCCATTTCTCCGTTCAAGGGTGGTTATAAAAACACACCTTCATCCTCTCCGGCCTTATCGTCAACCTTCGCCAACCGTTGCTTCCAACGCGGATGAAGACTTTTGACAGCCACGCCTCCAACATCATAACAGCATCAGTCCATGGACGACAGCTTACACGCTTTTTCACCTTTACCTTTGCCGACGGAGCTAGGATTTCAGCTATGGGTATCCGCTTACTGGATTTGCAACACAACGTTGTCATCCGCTTGCAATGATAGGAAGTCGCACACCACCCTCATATCCGGATACGTCAAACACCGTATCTGAATACACCAACAAACCAAAACCTTGGTAACCCTGGATCCGAATACACTTTACCCTTGATCCGAATACATCAACATATCGTCTGCGCTTTGATCTTCTTCATCCGCTTGTGTCGTTATCATCAACTGCCTTCTTCCTCCTCCTTCCGGGTCTTCTTCATCCGCTGCCGTGGTCTCCATGAACCCCCTTCTTCCTCCTCCAAACACCCTTCTCTTTCGTCTTCACTACTTGCAGAGGTCTTCAACCTACAACAAGCACATAAATTTGTTCCACAAACATGAGCTCACCTCAATTGTTCTCCACAGCTGCTCACTCTCAGATCTCTTCAGCAAACACAACTCTCACTCACGCAAAGCTCTGCTAAGTAAAGAAACCCTCACAGTTAATACACACACCAAACTTATCTATAAAGACCGTCTTATTAATGTTGTTAATGGTCAGAGATTCTTTTACAAATTCAAAAACGAATCACTTCTTTGCAGCACCGAATGGTCGTGTCAACCAGGGAATCTCATTAGGACACTGTGCGCTGCTAAACCACGATGTAAAAGCTTGCTTTTGGACACTCCAAAGTCCTCACATGGGAAGGCACAATAACACTCGTGAAAGCACAATGCATTTGCTGCAATGGAGTGTGGTTAAAATGAAACCCAATACATGAATACATGTTAATATATTATGCATGCTTTATTGAATGCTTCTGGAATTATAGAAATAGTAGAGGGACATAGACGACTTTTCATCCCAAATCGTCGCAAATCTTTGCAAAACTGCGAGACCCGGAAAAAGCAATAATCTGCGCAAATCAGCCCTGTTAACTGCTTTTCCATCGTTGCAAATCATATGAATCGAACAACATTTAACCCGCATATCCATCCTTGCAAATTGGCGACTACAGTAAATCACCCCAACCGAACGCAGTGTTATTTATATTCATGTCAACCTTAGCTAAACCTTAATCGGGCAGTCACCCCTTAGTTTCCTCTCGTAATTAAATTATGAATTCAATTATTTCTTCCTCAAAGTGATAGTATGAATGAGATCTAGTGATGACCACTTGCGTTCACATATTAGTTAGTTAGTGCTCATTGCTAGATGCTGTTACTTTATTAAAAGAAGAATTATTAAAACAAATATAATTAATTAAGCAAGATTATTTGAACTTATTAGGATATTGGCATACAAACAATCACATAAATTACTTACGTTGTTTGATGTGTTGTAGAACTTGGCAGTGGTGAATGATAGAGATCTTAACAAATATCTTTTTCTGTAGCAGTTTTTAGTTTTTTCCCTTTTGTAAATATTCCTTGCTTTCGCTTGTAACTCTACACACTTTGCTTCATTCTCAATAAAAATTTTCTCTTGAGTCTTTTATTAAACACTTACATGTCAGTTTGAAGATCTCTTCTTCTCTCATGGCTACCCCGATTTCTACCTCCGATCATCTTTCTAATCCTGTCAACTCTTTGTTTCTTCATCCCTGTGAGAACCCAGTCAGTGAAGGACCTATTACCATACAACCTAGCAGTCTTAGGCTCATGCTAAGAGCCTAACAAGGGGTCAGTAGAGAGCCTTTCATTGCACAATCCACCAACCTTGAGTGCATGCAAAGAGACTAAAGAAGGGTAAAGAAAGTGTATTCACTACACAATCCTCTAAAGTTGGCCATTTGGTCTAATTCATGACTTTAGCCTAACCGAGATGGATGAGGCGAACAATGGCCACAACGTAAACAACCTCATATGTGAATCGAGTCCAAATTTGGCCGAATCGAGTTATGTTCATGTTAAGTTGAGTCAAGTTGGACTTGCATAAGATTGAGTTGATGTAAAGCCACATTAGGACAAGTTAAGTTGGAGACACTTCGGGGGAGTGAACCTTGTATCAAGTCAAGTGAGGCCATATTGGTTCTAAACAAGTCAGACCCACATTGCTTTGAGTCAAATTGGCCATCTTGGTTTGCATTAAGTTGAGTAGAGTCAGATACACATTAGGTCGAGTGAAGTCATACTTACATAAGTTGAGTCAAGTTAGACCATGACAAGTTGAATCAAGTAGGGGAAACCTTTAATGATGTTGAGTTAGGTCCACTTTAACTCGAGTCGAGTCATGTAGCACCCACCTTGGGTTGATTCAAGTTAGGTCTACCTCGGTCTTAGTCAACTCAGGGCTACCTTGGGAAAGTATAGTTAAGCCCACATTAGTTGAGTCAAGTTGGACCCTGGTTTAGTCAAGCCCACTTGAGCCCATGTTGGGTTGATTCGAGTCTAGTTGAACCTATGTCGGGTCGAGTTAAGTCGATATTAGAACCAAACAATACAAATCTCATTAGACAAATCTATTTGTCAGAGTGGTGCAATGAAATGGTTAGCGTGTATAATAAACCAAGAGGGGGTGAATTGGTTTCTTATCGCAAATAATACCTTAATAATTTTCTCGTAAAATATAAATTCCTTAACAACAATTTAAACAAATTAAAAAGTAACGAAGAGAGAAAATTGCATAGGTGATTTTTATACTGGTTCGGATTACACAGATCCTACGTCCNGGACCACCACATTTCGACCACCACACGACACTTCATCTGCAACTCCATGCCACACATCTCCCTCATCTTCGTTGATTGATGTCCCCATTTCTCCGTTCAAGGGTGGTTATAAAAACACACCTTCATCCTCTCCGGCCTTATCGTCAACCTTCGCCAACCGTTGCTTCCAACGCGGATGAAGACTTTTGACAGCCACGCCTCCAACATCATAACAGCATCAGTCCATGGACGACAGCTTACACGCTTTTTCACCTTTACCTTTGCCGACGGAGCTAGGATTTCAGCTATGGGTATCCGCTTACTGGATTTGCAACACAACGTTGTCATCCGCTTGCAATGATAGGAAGTCGCACACCACCCTCATATCCGGATACGTCAAACACCGTATCTGAATACACCAACAAACCAAAACCTTGGTAACCCTGGATCCGAATACACTTTACCCTTGATCCGAATACATCAACATATCGTCTGCGCTTTGATCTTCTTCATCCGCTTGTGTCGTTATCATCAACTGCCTTCTTCCTCCTCCTTCCGGGTCTTCTTCATCCGCTGCCGTGGTCTCCATGAACCCCCTTCTTCCTCCTCCAAACACCCTTCTCTTTCGTCTTCACTACTTGCAGAGGTCTTCAACCTACAACAAGCACATAAATTTGTTCCACAAACATGAGCTCACCTCAATTGTTCTCCACAGCTGCTCACTCTCAGATCTCTTCAGCATACACAACTCTCACTCACGCAAAGCTCTGCTAAGTA